GGGGATATATTTATATTTGGTGAGACGGGAAGAACGAGGGGAGTTGTTGTCGCTGGGACTGGAACGAAGGACGTCGGGGAGAACCGGAGCGAAGACATTGGAGACAGAACAGGCTAGCAGTAGAGTAGAGACAAGCAGAGAGGAGCAGAGAGAGACAGAGAGAGAGACAGAGAGAGACAGAGAGAGACAGAGACAGAGACAAGCAGGGACGAGCAGAGAGAGACAGAGAGAGACAGAGAGAGACAGAGAGAGACAGAGAGAGACAGAGAGAGACAGAGAGAGACAGAGAGAGACAGAGAGAGACAGAGAGAGACAGAGAGAGACAGAGAGAGACAGAGACAGAGACAAGCAGAGACAAGCAGAGAGGAGCAGAGAGAATCAGAGAGAGACAAAGAGAGACAGAGAGAGACAAAGAGAGACAGAGAGAGACAGAGAGAGACAGAGACAAGCAGAGAGGAGCAGAGAGAGACAGAGAGAGACAGAGACAAGCAGAGAGGAGCAGAGAGGAGCAGAGAGAATCAGAGAGAGACAAAGAGAGACAGAGAGAGACAAAGAGAGACAGAGAGAGACAGAGAGAGACAGAGAGAGAGACAAGCAGAGAGGAGCAGAGAGAGAGACAGAGAGAGACAGAGACAGCGAGCGACGGAGAGAGAGACAGAGACGACGCAGAGGGACAGTGAGGGATGGGGGAGGAAGCGGAGTGAGCGAGACGGGCGGAGAGCGGCGAGCGAGCCGCGGATAAGCGGAATGACGGAGTCGCGGACGTCATGTGAAGAGTTGTAATAAAAGTGGTGTCGGAGAAAACAATAACGTTGTCTGCGTCAAGTCGACCACTACACTAGTAACGAATTGTCACGCTCTGTTTACGTGACAAACCTTACTAGTTGGCTGTGTCGGGTGGTGGCGGGTTTCACGACACATTTGTATATTTACGTCGACGACCACACAAAACACCTCTACTCTGCCGATTTGGTGTTTAAATATCTTTAAACCTCCCGTATTGATGCCAGAAAGGGCAATTACTTTACTGTGTTGTTATCACTGACTATCTTTAACATATTTACGGGACCCTTGTTGCCGGTATGAAGATGATTTTTTTTTAAAATGAAGATGCTTTACTGCTCAACCCGAGCTATCAATGCTTTGAAATTGGCATCGACCTTGTGCTGTTCACTTTGCTGGCGTTGTTCCATGACCCACACAACTCTGGTGCAATAAAAATAACGCGTGCTTACTTTATTATCAAAGCAGGTTTTCTTTGCATGTCAATTTTTGTTCTTCCACAAGCATAACATGTGCTTAATGCAAACGTTGCGATTTGCAATAGGTGTCTATTTTGCTGTTCCGCACATCTTAAAACCTTCTGTATTTATGCCAGGAAGGATACATCATTTGTGCTTATTATTCAATATCTTGCTACAATAGTGGCAAAAAAGCGTTCCACAGATATGAGACTAAATGTGTTGACACCCACGGTGTGTATGTTGGCGTGCATGTTGAACGTCTGTCGCACCGTACGTAGCCAACCGTGCTAATCAGAGGTGCAGGATTGGCGTGCTGATGACGAGTGCTGATGGGTACCACTGTAGCGAGATGTTAACTACCTCGCCCGGCATACAGGAGGTCGTGGGTTCGGTCCCAACCCTGACGAAGCCTGCTGCTGTATATTTGGAGTTTGCGGTGTCTCTCTCTCATCATCATCATCACGGTGGCTAGGGAGATGTTAACTACATCGCCTGGTGTACAGGAGGTCGTGGATTTGATACCAAACACGACGCCTTCTGCTGTATATTTGGAATTTGCGTGTCTCTCTCTCATCATCATCACGGTGGCTAGGGAGATGTTAACCACCTCGCCTGGCATACAGGACGGTCCTGGGTTCGATCCCGAACCTGAGACGCCTGCTGCTGCTGTATATTTGGAGTTTGCGGTGTCTCTCTCTCTCTCATCATCATCATCACGGTGGCTAGGGAGATGTTAACTACCTCTCATGGTATACAGGAGGTCGTGGATTCGATCCCAACCACGACGCCTACTGCTGCTGTATATTTGGAGTTTGCGGTGTCTCTCTCTCATCATCATCATCACGGTGGCTCGAGAGATGTTGACTACCTCGCCTGGTGTGCAGGAGGTCGTGGATTCGATACCAATCACTAAGCCTGCTGCTGCTGTATATTTGTCTCTCCCCGTGGTCGCGTGGATTTTTCTCCAGGGGTCCTACCGTGTCCCCCCCCCCCCCCCCCGCCGCATTTAGAAATCGTCAACATCGCCACGCGTTCAGCGTATATGGCCGCTGCTAAAAAAAATGTCCACGTGATGATGACGACGATGACGAGCCACACTTCTCGAGCCAATCGTTTGCGATGGCCCAGGGTCGCTTCTGAAAAAGAGCTGCAACAGCTGAGTGGTTGGGGGGGGTCCCTTACCTGGTCAAAGATAAAATGCAGATGAAGTAAAGATAACAAAGTCGTGTTCCATGCCATGTACGATGGATGTTGTTGACGGGGATCGTGCCCAAGTTGTTTGGTAGTGCACCACCACTGCCAACGGGAGGCAGCAGCATCACCGACACAATCAACGTCGTCTAAAATAAATATTGGAGCACATTTAGACTTAAGGCTTTCGTGACTGCGAGGAATTCATATTTCACGTAGGTGGAAAGTAAATAAAAATAATAATAAAATTTAACAAAATGTAAAATAATAAAAGCAAAAAAAAACCGCCATAAAAATAATAAAATAAAATTCAATATATATTCTTAGCTCTTTCGGTAAAGTCACGTTGAAGGGAAACAATAAAATAATAATATATATAAAACAATAAAAAATTATCACGACGTTTCGACCGTGACGCAAACGGTCATCATCAGGTGTGAAAACCAACGGCAAGAAGTGAGAATTTTTATTGTTTTATATATATTTTATTGTTCCCTGCAACGTGACTTTACCGTAAGAGCTAAGAATATGAATTACTGCAGTCACGAAAGCTATAAAATCAAGATTTAAATTAAATATTACAAAAAAATGCAAATAATGAAAGCTAACAAAACCCCCCACGACGTTTCGATCGCAACACAAGCGGCCTTCTCTCCGCCTGATGTGTGCTTTGTGCTTTTATTATTGTTAAAGTGTATTTTTTGTTATCCTATCTACGTGACTTTACCGAAAGAAACAAGAATATGTTTATTAGCAGCAGGCACAGCATCAGCAGGAATTGCTTCGATGCAAATACTCGACCGAAACAATGATAACGAGAAAAAAGGTGATGGTGAATTAAGAGAAATGAAGAATCGTACGACCGCCGTTCACAGCAGTCTGACTTTTAAAATATTACGAACAATTATAATGATTCCAGCCACGATGTAGGTGCGGGTGTATGCGTGCGGGTGCACAGCTGACAACCCCTTTTCAGTGCCCTACCTTATTACAGACCAACTCAGACGCCTTATTGGTCACCCTCTCTCTCACTACACTGCACGTCACAACAACACTCACCCACTGACTCATTCCACCCTCTCACTCACTCACCCACTCACTCACCACACTGCAGGTCACAACAACATTCACCCACTCGCCCACTCACTCGCTCACTCACTCACCCACTCACTCATCCACTCATCACACTGTTGGTCACAGGAGCATTCAACCACTCACTCACCCACTAAATCACTCACTCACTTACTCACCCACCCACTCACCCACTCATCCACCCTCTCACTCACTCACCCTCTCACTCACTACACTGCACGTCACAACAACACTCACCCACTCACTTATCCACCCTCTCACTCACTCACCCACTCACCACGCTGTAGGTCACAACAACATTCACCCGCTCACCCACTCACCGACTCACTCATCCACTCATCACACTGTAGGTCACAAGAGCACTCACTCACCCACTCACTCACCCACTAATTCACTCACTTACTCACCCACCCACTCATCCACCCTCTCACTCACTCACCCTCTCACTCACTACACTGCACGTCACAACAACACTCACCCACTCACTTATCCACCCTCTCACTCACTCACCCACTCACCACGCTGTAGGTCACAACAACATTCACCCGCTCACCCACTCACCGACTCACTCATCCACTCATCACACTGTAGGTCACAAGAGCACTCACTCACCCACTAATTCACTCACTTACTCACCCACCCACTCACCCACTCATCCACCCTCTCACTCACTCACCCTCTCACTCACTACACTGCACGTCACAACAATACTCACCCACTCACTCATCCACCCTCTCACTCACTCACCCACTCACTCACCACACTGCAGGTTACAACAACATTCACCCACTCACTCACCCACTCATCACACTGTAGGTCACAGGAGCATTCAACCACTCACTCACCCACTAACTCACTCACTTACCCACCCACCCACTCACGCACCCACTCATCCACCCTCTCACTCACCCACTCACTCACCACACTGCAGGTCACAACAACATTCACCCGCTCACTCACCCACTCATCACACTGTAGGTCACAGGAGCATTCAACCACTCACTCACCCACTAACTCACTCACTTACCCACCCACCCACTCACCCACTCATCCACCCTCTCACTCACTCACCCTCTCACTCACTACACTGCACGTCACAACAACACTCACCCACTCACTCATCCACCCTCTCACTCACTCACCCACTCACTCACCACACTGCAGGTTACAACAACATTCACCCACTCACTCACCCACTCATCACACTGTAGGTCACAGGAGCATTCAACCACTCACTCACCCACTAACTCACTCACTCACTTACCCACCCACCCACTCACGCACCCACTCATCCACCCTCTCACTCACCCACTCACTCACCACACTGCAGGTCACAACAACATTCACCCGCTCACCCGCTCACTCACTCAACATCAACACTGCAGGTCATCAGGAACATTAACCAGCATGCAAACTCCGGTCATCCTCGCGGCGACTTTTGGTGACTAACCATCGAACAAAGGCGGCAGTCACCGCATCGCGAGCGTACAGACGCGCTTCTGCGGCCGTTTGGAACGCCCTTCCTTCAGATGCTAGGAATCTACTGGAGCTGTGCACCTCCAAATCACCGTCTAGATTGAGAGGCTCGTTTCTTTAGAACTGCTTCTTGTTCTGCTGACTTTGGTGGCCTTGCCCCGCACACCCTCCGATTAGCAACGGGTGGCTACGTACGGCGCGGAAGAAGTCGATCATACGCGCGTGCAAATCCCCCACTCTCCAAAGCAAGAAAATCACGAATGCTCATGGCCATGCCGCGCAGTTGACGACGGAGCGGGGGAGGAGGGGTGGGGAGGGTAACAGGGCATGGGCGATCAGGAGACGAGAATGGGCAGGAAGTGAGCCGAGGGGTGTTGGGGTCTGCTCTTGGTCCCCTTCCTGGGTACCCCCTTGCCGCTCAGGGCCAGGAACATCTGGCGACCCTGGAGGGGCCCGCGGGGTCTCCCGGCACCGCGGGCCCTCGGGCGCTGAGCACGGCCGGCGCTGCGGGCCCTCTCGGGCCCACCCCGGGCGGTTCCCTCCGCGTGTCGCCACGTGTGGGAGGCGTACGTGTTGTAGCCGTTCTCCTCGATGCGCTCCCAGAAGCGGCAGTCGTCACCGAAGTCCTTCTGCGAGAGGTGGGATGGGTGGTGAGATGGGTGGTGAGATGGATGGTGACGTGGGTGGTGAGATGGATGGTGAGATGGGTGGTGAGGTGGGTGGTGAGTTGGATGGTGAGATGGATGGTGAGGTGGATGGTGGGATGGGTGGTGGGATGGGTGGTGAGGTGTATGGTAAGATGGATGGTGAGGTGGATGGTGAGATGGATGGTGAGGTGGGTGGTGGGATGGGTGGTGGGATGGGTGGTGATGTGAGTGGTGAGATGGATGGTGAGATGGGTGGTGGGATGGGTGGTGAGATGGATGGTGGGATGGATGGTGAGTGAATGGTGAGATGGATGGTGAGGTGGATGGTGAGATGGGTGGTGAGATGGGTGGTGGGATGGGTGGTGAGGTGGATGGTGAGATGGATGGTGAGATGGATGGTGAGATGGGTGGTGAGGTGGGTGGTGGGATGGATGGTGAGATGGATGGTGAGATGGGTGGTGGGATGGGTGGTGGGATGGGTGGTGAGGTGGATGGTGAGATGGATGGTGAGATGGATGGTAAGGTGGGTGGTGAGATGGATGATGAGGTGGATGGTGAGATAGATGGTGAGATGGATGATGAGGTGGATGGTGAGGTGGATGGTGAGATGGATGGTGGGATGGATGATGAGATTGGTGGTGAGATGGATGGTGAGATAGGTGGTGAGTTGGATGGTGAGTTGGGTGGTGAGTTGGGTGGTGAGTTGGGTGGTGAGTTGGATGGTGAGATGGATGGTGAGATGGATGATGAGATAGGTGAGATTAATGGTGTGATGGATGGTGAGATGGTATAAGAGAGATTGGGGAGAGACGGTGAGATGGGTGGTGAGATGAGTGGTGGGATGGATGATGAGATTGGTGGTGAGATGGATGTTGAGATGGATGGTGAGATGGATGGTGAGTTGGGTGGTGAGTTGGATGGTGAGATAGGTGGTGAGATGGATGATGAGATAGGTGAGATTAATGGTGTGGTGGATGGTGAGATTAATGGTGAGATTAATGGTGAGATGGTATAAGAGAGATTGGGGATAGACGGTTAGATGGGTGCTGGGAGACGGGGGTAATGGACAGCGCAGGGTGGTGCTGGGGGAGTTGTGGGCTAGACAGCGAGACGCAGGAGGGCGGTGCTGATGGAGGGGGCTGGTGTACCAAGACGTATCACGGTGTTGCTGGGGCTGTACCGTGCTATAGACTCGGCCCTTCTTGTTCATCGCGAGGAAGAAGTCGCTCTCCACTCCGCGTATCGCGACCACCCCCACCTCCACCGCGGTGATCTCCAGCACACCTGGGTCGAGGTCAGGGTCACACCACAAGGTTGACAATTCCATCGTGAGGATGTCACGGCCATTCGCTTATAAATCTCAACGTTCATCCCGCAGAAATCCCATCGCAAGGGAGAAACACAAACAAATAGACAAACATAGTTTTTGTTTGTCCGTATTGTAACGGCTGTAACGCCGTACGCACCTCAAAACTCAATTCCCCACCGACAAGAATACGGGTTGACGCGGTAAGATGATGGATTATTGTGGCGACATCACAGCGAAGATGCGAGACACGTGTGATTTGCTGCGTATGGGGATGTTGGGGGGGGCGGGGGGAGAGGACGGTGCGGGGGGAGGCATTCATCCAGCAGTGGATACAATACAACAGGCGATAACAACAAAAGCCCGGATGATCGCTGAATGGACCTGGAATCTCAATTTCCCCCGGACAAGAACATGGGCTGACCCGTGTGGGTTTGATAGCTGTGAATTTGTCATTGTGGCCCTCTCATGAGTCCATTCCATCACGAATGCGCATTGATGACGAGGGCGCGTGGAACTAAACAACGTTTCGTTTACGTTTGGGGCCAGCCAAATTTTATTTTACGAGCTACATTACAGCTGCTTGTGCGACGCGACCTGGCCACCGCGTATAGCGTTGCTCAGCGTCATCAAGTCCCGATGTTTCGCAGCCACAAATGCTGCTGTGAGACACTCCCCTCCCTCCCCCCCTCCCCCCCCCAAAAAATATATAATGGTTTCAAATGTGTGGCGCCCCTTATCGCGATTTCTTATCGGCGACGGTGCCCCAACACCCACCCCCCCCCCAATCTTCCTCCACCCCACCCGCTGAAAATGAGTGATGAACACCGCGAGAGATTGCGCAAGAGGTGCCCCCCACTCCCACCCCGCCCCCACACGGTGGCAGCTGCCCCCCCCCCTTACGCACGGTGACTCGGTGAGCTCCGTGGGTGCGTGGAGGCGGAGCGGGCGACGAGGGGGCTGACGGGGCCCCGGGTGGCAAGGGCCGTTCAGACGCCCCTTGCCACGCAAAAACTTAAAAACAAAGTTCACCGTCCAACGTGAATCCAACGTTCGGTTTGAACTAAACTTATCGATGGAACCAGTTGCGTGATTGCCAAGATATTCGTCACTGGTGTTGGTGGCCGTGGAACGGGAATCGAACTCGGGTCAACCGGGTTACGCACTCGCCGGACGCTTTACCGCAACACCACCGCTCCCCACCAACACACCAAGTGGCGGAGACGACGCCACGGCGCCTGTGCCAGGCTAGGTGCACTCTGAGGCCACGTGAAGTGTCGAAGGCTCTCTGCTGGCGAGAAGGTCACGGGACAGACCCATCAGGCGGCATGGGTTGACTGACTGAGATGACTGGCGGATGCAGCAGATGTACCCCCTACTGTGCCAAATAACACACACACACACTCACATAGTCACACACTCAATCACACACTATTAACTACGTATAACTACATTTTGATTTAAAGATTTCGTGACTGCAGGGATTCATATTCTTGGTTCTTTCGGTAAAGTCACCACGTAGAAGGGAAACAAAAAAACATAAAACAATAAAATTATTATTTTTATTTTTTCATTATTTTATTGTTTCCCTTCTACGTGACTTTACCGAAAGAACCAAGAATATTTGATTTAAAGCTTTCGTGACTGCAGTAATTCATATTCTTAGCTCTTTCGGTAAAGTAACGTTGAAGGGAAACAATAAAATAATCAAATATATGTAAAACAATATATGTATTATTTTATTGTTTCCCTTCAACGTGACTTTACCGAAAGAGCTAAGAATATGAACCAAGAATATGTATAACTAGTTTTTTTTTATTTTACACTGAGCTATGTAGCCCTTTTTCAGAAGCGACCTGGCCACAAATGATAGCTCAACGAAGTGGGCTTATCATCATCATCACTTGTAAATTATATATCAGCCAATTGCTCTGAACGCGCGATGTTGATTCTAAACGTTGACGCAAAAATACACGCGACCACGTGCACAGAGAGAGAGAGAGAGACACCGCAAACTCGAAATACACAGCAGGCTTCAGGGTCGCCATCGAACCCACGACCTCCTGCATACCAGGCGAGGTAGTTAACATCCAGCCGGCGTGGAGCCCGGCGCAGTGCGCTAACCGCTGCGCCACCGCTCCTAGCAGCCCTCCCCCCACCCCCCACAGACGGCACGCGGTGGTTTCACGCGCAGGCGCTGCGAGCGCCGATGTCGGGGCTCTTCCCGTTACTTCAGGGGGGGGGGAGAGCCCCCCCTTCCCCCTCCCCTCCCCTCCCCCACCTCCCCGCCCCCCCCCCCACAACGCGGTCCGCGCTCTGGTGACGCTGAGGCCGCTGGCGGGGGCGGCGTTAGTGGGGGGCGCGCGTTTGCCCCCCACCCCGCACCGTGAGACGCAGCAACACAATCGGAGCGCCGAGGGGAATTCACAGCGCTGAGCGCTTGGCGTCTCCCGTGGTGGTGATGGTGATGGTGGTGATGGTGGTGATGATGGTGATGGTGGTGATGGTGGTGATGGTGGTGGTGGTGATGGTGGTGGTGATGATGGTGGTGGTGGTGGTGATGATGGTGGTGATGATGGTGGTGGTGGTGGTGATGGTGGTGGTGATGGTGGTGATGGTGGTGATGGTGGTGGTGGTGGTGGTGATGATGGTGGTGGTGGTGGTGATGGTGGTGGTGATGGTGGTGATGGTGGTGATGGTGGTGGTGGTGGTGATGGTGGTGGTGGTGGTGATGGTGGTGGTGATGGTGGTGATGGTGGTGATGGTGGTGATGGTGGTGGTGATGGTGGTGATGGTGGTGGTGATGGTGGTGGTGGTGGTGATGGTGGTGGTGATGGTGGTGGTGGTGATGGTGGTGGTGGTGATGGTGGTGGTGATGATGGTGATGGTGATGATGGTGGTGATGATGGTGGTGATGGTGGTGGTGGTGATGGTGGTGGTGGTGGTGGTGATGGTGGTGGTGGTGGTGGTGATGATGGTGGTGATGGTGGTGATGGTGGTGATGGTGGTGGTGATGGTGGTGGTGGTGATGGTGGTGATGGTGGTGATGGTGGTGGTGATGGTGGTGATGGTGGTGGTGATGGTGGTGGTGGTGGTGATGGTGGTGGTGATGGTGGTGGTGGTGATGGTGGTGGTGGTGGTGATGGTGGTGGTGATGATGGTGATGGTGATGATGGTGGTGATGATGGTGGTGATGGTGGTGGTGGTGATGGTGGTGGTGGTGGTGGTGATGGTGGTGGTGGTGGTGGTGATGATGGTGGTGATGGTGGTGATGGTGGTGATGGTGGTGGTGATGGTGGTGGTGGTGATGGTTGTGGTGGTGATGGTGGTGGTGATGATGGTGGTGGTGATGATGGTGGTGATGATGGTGGTGATGGTGGTGGTGGTGATGGTGGTGGTGGTGGTGGTGATGGTGGTGGTGGTGGTGGTGATGATGGTGGTGATGGTGGTGATGGTGGTGATGGTGGTGGTGATGGTGGTGGTGGTGGTGGAGGTGGTGATGGTGGAGGTGGTGTTGGTGGTGATGGTGGTGGTGGTGGTGGAGGTGGAGGTGGTGATGGTGGAGGTGGTGATGGTGGTGATGGTGGTGATGATGGTGGTGATGGTGGTGGTGGTGGTGGTGGAGGTGGAGGTGGTGATGGTGGAGGTAGTGATGGTGGTGATGGTGGTGATGATGGTGGTGATGATGGTGATGGTGGTGATGGTGGAGGTGGTGATGGTGGTGGTGATGGTGGTGATGGTGGTGATGGTGGTGATGGTGGTGGTGGCGGTGGTGGTGGTGGTGGTGATGATGGTGGTGGTGATGATGGTGGTGGTGGTGGAGGTGGTGATGGTGGAGGTGGTGATGGTGGAGGTGGTGATGGTGGTGATGGTGATGGTGGTGATGGTGGTGGTGATGATGGTGGTGGTGATGGTGGTGATGGTGGAGGTGGTGGTGATGGTGGTGGTGATGGTGGTGGTGGTGATGGTGGTGGTGGTGATGATGGTGGTGATGATGGTGGTGGTCATGATGGTGGTGATGGTGATGGTGGTGATGGTGGAGGTGGTGATGGTGGTGATGATGATGGTGATGGTGGTGGTGATGGTGATAGTGGTGGTGGTGATGGTGGAGGTGGTGATTGTGGTGATGGTGGTGATGGTGGTGGTGATGATGGTGGTGGTGATGGTGGTGGTGGTGATGGTGGAGGTGGTGATGGTGGAGGTGGTGATGGTGGTGGTGATGGTGGTGGTGATGATGGTGATGATGGTGGTGATGATGGTGATGATGGTGATGGTGGTGGTGATGATGGTGGTGTAGATGGTGGTGATGATGGTGGTGGTGGTGATGGTGATGATGGAGGTGATGATGGTGGTGGTGATGGTGATGATGGAGGTGGTGATGGTGGTGGTGATGGTGGTGACGGTGGTGATGATGGTGATCGCGATGGTGGTGGTGAAGATGATGGTGGTGATGGTGTGGGTCATGATGATGATGATTGGGATGGTGGTTATGGTGGTGATGATGATTGGGGTGGTGGTTATGGTGGTGATGATGATTGGGGTGGTGGTTATGGTGGTGCATCTCTCCCTCCCTCCCTCTCTATCTTTTCACGATCAGAGGTAACAAGAAGATGCTCGGTGTAGTCGGCACTTTGCTCCGTTCATCATTTCGGTTTTTTCATGCTTTGCTTAATGAACCCCGCCCCCCTTTTTAAATCACCTCTCATCCTGCCTCTCACGCGCTACTTGAATTTATAGGAAGAGCGAACGGGGGGGTGGGGGTGGGGGTGGTCCTGCCGTGACCCCCCCCCCCTCACCCCCCCCGCCACCCACACTTATTTTAGCTCTGCCGCAATTACCCGTGGAGGATATTTTTAAACACGCGCCGCTCTGTCTCCTCGCCCGGGTCATTGTGAGCGAGCCCCTCCCCCCCACTGCCCCCACCTCCCCGTGCTCTCCGCATTTGCTGTGGGTGTTGAACTTCTTTCGTACCGTGCGTAGCCAGAGCGTGCTCATCAGAGGCGACGGGGGAAGGACAGGAAACGAGCACGCGAAAAAAGCAGAGGAGCAGGGAGGGAGGGGCAGGGAGGGAGGAGCAGGGAGGGAGGAGCAGGGAGGGTGGAGCAGGGAGGGAGGGTGGAGCAGGGAGGGTGGAGCAGGGAGGGTGGAGCAGGGAGGGTGGAGCAGGGAGGGAGGAGCAGGGAGGGAGGGGCAGGGAGGGTGGTGCAGGG